TATTTTTTTTTTATCATTTTAATCAAATTTAAAAAAAAAAAAAAAAAAAAAAGGAGACATAATAGCTTATAAATTTAAAATTTCATTTTATTTTATTTTTTTGTATTTTTTTATTTTATTATGCTAATATATTATCACTGTCAACTTACGTTTTTTATTTTTTTTATTTTTACTTTATTAATTTTTTATCCGTTTATCCTATATTTTTTTTTTTTTGTATATTTATTTATCATACTCATTTGTGACTTTTCATTTTTACTTATTTTATTTTTTTTTTCTTTAAATATTCTAATATTCTTACTTAATTAATTTTTAATAATATATCTATAGTATATTTTTTTAAAACAAATTTTTTTTTTAATAAAGTTTATTAGAAGTAAAAAAAAGAAAATTAAAATAATATAAATATACATATATATTAAGAAATATAATGAAATAAATTGTGAGAATAAACAAATAGAACAATTTTTATGAAAAATTATATTAATAATGTACATTCTTTTTAAATTATCTAAATATAAAAGAATATAATATAAAAACAATCAAATGAATATATTAGAAATAAAAAAAAAGTATATAAAAATATTATTAATTCTATTAATATAATCATTTTTTTTTTTTTTTTTTTTTTTTTTTTTTTAAATAACTTTAATTTTCTATCTGAACATAAGCATACTCTTGTACATACCTATTGATTTTTGATTTTTTTTTTTTTAAATTTATATCATTTATATCATACATATCGCAATTATTTTCACATGTATATATAGCAATAATGGAAAATTTTGAGTTTAATGTGATATTTTTATTAAATGATATATTTTTTTTAATTTTTAAATAGTTTATAATAGTTGATAAAACTTGAAATTCAAAAATCATTCTTCCTCCACACACATGGCAATTTGGTATTTTGTTTTTATTTGTATTGAAATGTTTAATTTTTCCTACTTCTTCACAAAAATTATTTTGATTATAATTGTAATTGTCGCATGATGAATAAAGAGGTGTTCCATTATAAGAATATCTAATAATTTGCTTTGGAAACCTTTGAATTTTTTTTATATAATTTTTGAAAACGTGATCAATTTTTCTTTGATTCTCCATGTCTTTTTGAATATCTTCAAATGCTTTCATTTCACTTATATCTAAATCATTATCGTCTTTATTTTCTATATTTTTAATATCGTCGTCATTCATATATTTTTTATTATCATTTATTAAACTATCGTCCTTATCATTTTCGTTAATGTTTTTATTTTTTTCATTTTCATTATTATTTTCTTTATATAAATCTTTATAATTTTCATTTATATATGTTTCTTCATATTCTTCAGAAAAACTTTCGTTACCTGTACTACTACTTTCACAATCATCTTCATCACTAATATATATTTTTTTTTCTTTAAATATTACATGATTTTTTAATTCACAAAATTTATGTTTTTTTGTGTTTATACTTGGTATGCCACATATGTTACAACAAAAATAATATTCTAATTTTTTATTAAAAGTATTATTAGAATTTTCATATAAATTTATATAATCACTAGAAATTTCCTTATTTTCATTACATTTATTTGATTTATTTGATTTATTTGATTCATCTAATTTACATACTTCTATTGATTCTATTGATTCATTTGAAGAATTTGATTCATCTGATTCATCTAATTTACATACTTCTATTGATTCATTTAATTCATTTGAAGAATTAGATTCATTATCTGTATGATTAATATTTTCTAAATAATAATTATAAAATAAATTACTTCTTGGTAATTGTGTTCTAAAACATTTAACTTGATCACCACAATTTAAACAAACAAATAAATATAAACATCTATGAAAACATTTACTTATATTATCAAGTGGTGCATATATTTGTAATAAAAAACTCATTAATTTACTACATAAAGTACAATGAAAAGATTTTTCATTTGGTAAATTTATTCTATCTAACCAAAATGGTTTTCCACCTATTTTTGATATAAATTTCTTATTTATTTTATTTTTTTCTTTCAATTCATTTTTTTTATTTTTTTCATCTAAATAACCTAATAAAACGTGAACCATATTTGTAAAAAAAAAAAAAAAAAATTACATAAAAAACCTAATTAAAATAATAAAGTTATATAACTGAAAGAATCATAATTTAATCAAAAGTAGAATAAATTATAAAAAAAAAAAAAAACAAAAACAAAAACAATAAAATCCTAAAAATTATTTTAATTTGTTTCTAAAAATATGATATTAATTTTTTTAAGAATACATATCAATAATAATATTAAAAATTGTTTCTTTATTTTTAATATATATATCATTAAAAAAAAATCTTAATGATTTTTCTTTTATTTTTTTTTTCATATTATGATTCTACATTTGTAGTTAATATAAAATGACAAAAAATAAAAAAAAAAAAAAAAA